TCTTTGAAGCATCGGTGTACCAGGCTAGGGCTCCTCTATTTAGTTGAGGCCCTCCCTTCGCCCAATCATCCCTGCTTCTAAATATGACCTTATACGGTTGGTTGAAATTGTATTCCGTCGGTATGAGGTCCGTTTTAATTTCAATCAGGTGATTTAGACATGGGTCTTTGAGGATCTCGAGGTGTCCTCTGAGGTTAGCCTGCATCAACTTGAGTGAAGAAACTGTTTTCAGTGATAAGGCACTTAAGGCTGGCTCCTTTTGTACATATAAATGGAGCGATGTGAGACCGAGTAGGTCTTCCAAAGCAGCCGTCGGACAGGATCTCATTGCACCCGTTATGTTAAGACATGCTAACCGCTGGATTTGTGCCACCTGTTGTTGAGCTGTCTTATGTTTTGTTTTTGGCCACCAAACCAATGAGGCGTAGGCGAGGCCATTCGTGGTTTGAGACCCCAGTTCCTTCCTAGGAGCCTGCGGCAGATCTGGTTTGCCATGATGGCCTTTTTCCTCACCTTATCTAAGTGTGAGTTCCAGTTTAGTTTACTGTCAAGTATTACCCTTAGGTATTTAGTTTCTGTTTTGAGGTTAATAGTTCGGCTTTCAATAGAGGGTGCTTTTATTTGTAGCTTCCTTCTCCGAGTAAAAGGAACTATTTCGATTTTATTGGGATTGATGCTGAGCCCATTGCTTCTGCACCAAGTACTGGTGAGTAGTAGGGCTTTCTGCATTAGCTGAGTTATGATTGAATCATATTTATCTCGGATTGTGATTACCAGTTCATCAGCGTACCCTTGTATCTTAAATCCGTTTTTAGTTAGGGTGTTCATCAAGTCATCAACTACCAGGCACCATAATAGAGGTGATAGCACTCCCCCTTGGGGACATTCTCTTAGCGCCTTTATAGTCAGCGACTCGCCTCCCAAACTGGCTGTGATCTGCCGACTTTTCAACATGGCTATACACCACTTGATTGTCGACGGATGTATGTCTTTTACGTTTAGAGCCTTCTCTATGGATTCATATGACGTGTTATCAAACGCACCCTCTATGTCTATGAAAGCACATAGGGCTATCTCTTTGGATGCAATTGCCTCCTCTAAAGTGCTGGTCAAAGCATGGAGAGCGGTAATTGTTGATTTTGCTTTCTAGTAAGCATGTTGACTAGGGTGGAGTGGATTAGTGACAAGCACTCCATTCCTAAGGTATTGATCGATTACCTTTTCCATCCCTTTGAGGAGAAATGAAGTTAGGCTAATTGGTCTGTATGCCTTGGGGTCCGCGTTACAGTATAACACAAGTGACTTTAAGAGAATGTTCGGAAACTATTTTAATGTTTTTCTCTATTACAATTACAATTAATGTTGATGTATTGTACATTAATGGATTCAGAAAAAAAATCTCTATCCAATAACGTAAAGAAAAACATACCCAGCAATTTGAAAATCAAAAGTTGATAATCGCTTAAAATTGAAGATGACGTTGGAAAAAGTTTATTTGTAGCATGAGTCATAGTATTCATCAAACCATTTCATTTGATACCTCTCTCATAAAAATCGAAAGGTAAATGACAGAGTTACAGCTTGCGGCGTTCTTGTGTGACACCTGTATATTAATTATAAATTATAAAAAAAAATTTTTCTATTAATTTTCTTCGGTCTTCCCCAAAAACATAACAAGTGCAAAATATGTTTAGTAAGGTATAAAATTTAGTATCGAAAATAAATCTAGTATATATAATTAACAACATCAAGTGATTTTAAATCAATTTAATGATAAAGTTATTATGGCCAGCTTTTCATTCAAAATACGCCTTTGTGCGACGTGATGTTTAATTTCATAGCCTACTAATTTCGTGCTAACGAAAAATAATGTTTTGTCCATATCTCTGGTATATATTATTGAAAAGCTCTTTTTAGGGACTATTAACTAATCAAAAATTCAATATGGCCGCCATAAGAAAAACAAAAATCGGCGGTAATAACTTGGAAACAAATGAATATCGATAGTTTCTGTTCAGACCAAAAAGGTAGTCTCAAAAAAGTGTCTTAATAATGTAAACGTTTAAAAGCAGTTGCATTAGGCGTTATCGACTTATTAGAACAAATTAAAAGCAGCAAATTTCAGTTTTTTCAAAATATCTCAAAAACGAAAAAAATCAGGATGAATTTGAAATATGTTTTGTTCCGAGCATTGAGATATTTACTTATATATTGATTAGATATACTTCTATAATTTTGTCCCTGTCAAATAAGAATTTTCAATCAATTTTCATAAATAAATACCCGTGCGACGACAGCAACAAACTTTTACCCGTAATTTCCTATCTACTTTCTTAGCTGATATCTTCCTTATAATTAGGGATAGCGAAAAACTAAATGCACCACTTGAAAGCTTGAATCTTTCTCTATCTAAAACCGGGTTGGGTTCGTCTGCCGATAATGACTTAATTTGATTTAAGATCAATAAAAAATGAAGAACACCGCGCTGTACTTAAAATAGCTCAAAATTACCAAACTTCAAGGACTTGTGTAATTGTTACGAAACCGAATTTAAAAAAACTGTTATAACAATCAGAAAGGGCGCTCCTTCAGCTACCTTAATCCGGGTTTTTGTCGGTCAATATCTATCGGCGTCATGCTTAAATCACCCTTAATGTCCATCCCTACACGCAGAAACGCTTGAATACTCTTCCTCTAAACAACTTTCTTATTTGATAGGGAGAAAACTATATATATCTATCTTATTGAAAATTTTCTGCTCTTTCTAGTGGTGTATAACACGCGACGATCGCGCGCTTGCACAAACACGTTTTGCGCCAAAAACTACTAACGTTGTGGATTTTTCTGTTTCTAGTTAACTCCCATTTGTGACAGAGTCTGTCACGACGACCTGAGTGAAAATCATTATAAACGATTTATGGAAAAATCCCTGAAATCGGTCTAAAGATTTAACTTTTGTGCAATTTTTTGGTATAGATTTCAAAATTGTTCCCTCATTTTTAACCCTTTAACGGTTAGCGGCTTTTATAGAGACCACTTGTCAATAAGGTCAAATAGTTGCATTACCATAACTAAATCGTTTCTAAAAACGAAAAAATAATTTACCCGTTAAACGGTTTAACGAGTTATGACGCAATCGATATTTTTTTCAAATGGCAATCCCCCATTCTTATTACGGAATACAAAAGAAGATTTTTTTCTGAATCTATACTCTGTTTTTAAACCAGGAGGAGTAAACGCGAAAGGCAGATTTACACTAGGAAAAATCACCAGAAAATATCACTAGATATTTTGGCGGTAAATTTAAATTAATAATTATTATTATTTATTTATTTACTTATTATTGTATTTATTTTCGT